AATTTGTTATTGTTACTTTGTCGGTTTGCTTATCGTTTTGTTACGTCTCTACACCATTCCCCGTGCAAGTTTGACAAGTGAGCAGACAAGAATGACAATGTTACCATCAAGAGTGACAATGAGAATTCAAGTTTGTCACAATTCAATTCTGTTACAATCAAGTTTGACTTTGAGAATTCAAGTATGTCACAATCGAGATATGTTACCATCAAGATTGACAATGAAAATCCAAGTTTGTCAGAGTTCAATTATGTTACAAGCAAGATTGATAGTGAGAATTCATGTTTGACACCGGCAGAATATATCACAATCAAGAATGACAATGAACCACACTAGTTCGGCAATACGCACACAAGTTTGACAATACGCACCAAGTTTAGTGACACCGTCTGTTTGCGCCACTACAAGAACGGTAGCATTTGATGATCTCTTGGAAACTTGAGTCTCTTAGAAATTCTCAATTATGCATTTACTAACAACTTTATTATGATGTAGCAGCAAGCCATCCCAATGGTAGCAGCAGGTGGGATGAATACTCAGAGGTTGGAGGAGGAATAGGTAGTTGCCCCTGAGTGCAACTGGAAGAAGAAGAAGAAGTGATGATTATTAAATCATGTATTGCTCGTTGTTGAGGAAGGTTTCAAGTGATGATGATGGTGTTCGCTCGGTTCTACTACTACTACTACTACTACTAGTACTACTACTACTACTACTACTACTACTAGTACTACTACTACTACTACTACTACTACTACTAGTAGTAGTCTACTACTACTACTACTCATTCATTCATTCATTTAGCGCTTAGATCCAACTATGGGACATGCGCGCTACGAATAATAGTAAATTTATGCCAACACCGTCTGCCGGATATATTTCCATCTTCCACCACGATCCTCAACGTCCCTTCTGACCAACTTCATCCACTTAGAATCAGTCTCGATTTGTGATTCAATCCAGTCTCTTTGAATCATACCTTTGGGCTGTCTTAGGGCATGACCAAACCAGCGTAGACGCTTTTGACTAACAACCTCTTGGACACAATATTCCCCTAACCATCCCGAAACTTCTAGTTCGGACACTTTCCAATAAGTCGTAGTACTATCCTCACGATCTTCATCTGTTGAGCTATCTCGATTTCTACCCTATCTTATAATGTTACTGACCAACTTATTACAACATGGCAGAGGGACACCAGCCAAGGATTGTACACTGGATACTTAGGGATACAACCAACCAATGAATGCAGATTCTGATAAGTAATGCTGGGCTCGTTGAGGATAGTTCTCAATGCTGACTTACATTTATTATTCTTAGGCTTACTTATAGTGATATATTTTTTACCGTGCTTGTTGACAATAGTAACTCCCAAGATATCACTTGTTGGCTGGATGTCCATATCGAAGATCTTATGGGACGATATAAGGAAGT